ATTTTACTCTTTTGCTCTTTGGAGAAGGAAGAAAAAAAAACATATGGTGGATCGATTGTAATGTAGCGATGATCCTATCCATCGTATAAGGAGAAACTAATTCGGCGACACGAATTAGCGTTGTCGAGGTTCGTTGGACCCTGGCTCGAGGTTGAGAGAAAAGCTTTGTGGTCGGACCGGTCGGAGGTTTCGCGCTCGGTATTACGCGAGCGAATTCGAGGCGCGTAGCGGCGCGTCGGGCAGAAAAACGACGTTTAACCGGGCGAAGTGGAAAAGGCGGGAGCAATTTTTCGAAAGAGGCAATTATCGATTCGTGTGGTCCCCGCGATCGCTGGCGTTGCAAGAAGCGGATAGAGACATCGGCCACATTCCAAGGGTACGAAAGGCATGCCGAGAACCCAATAGGGACCTCCACGTTTTCTCTCCTTCTTTATCTCCCTCCTTTCTCTGTGACCGTCTTTGCCGTGTCCGTTTTGCCCTTTCCGCTTAACATTTCGGCCGCACAAGGACCACCCAGAACCACTCTCGTTGCCTGGCGCAATATTCAATACCCGAGGTATACAGCATCAAGAAGAAACGGATAGCGGGTCAATCGCGAAGCTGTTCCCGAACCGTTTCTTTCCTTCGAGCCAAGCTGGAAATTTCCCACCATTCCTGCATTTTTTTTCTCCTTCCATTTAATCTTTCCCGATTCTCGAAAATAGTACGCCACAGGTGACCTCTCGTTAGCAAATTATCCATCATCGCGTTCTTTATGGGAATCAAAACAGATTTCACGCGTCAAAAATGTCGATGTTCTTTTCTTTTCTTTTTTTTTTTTTCGTTCGCATTTAAGGATTCGCATTAAAATCGTTTAATTGATCGAGTCGTTCTTGAATCGAGCGAACCGCGATGCGTCGCGAAGAATTTGTAATCTCGAATTTTCTTCTTTCTTTCTTTTTTTCCCTTCTCCTCTCGTGGACAAAGAGGCACAGCTGGGATCGCTCGATTCATTCGTCCGTTGTTTTTCTAATTTTATCCCGACTTCGTTGCGGACAAAAGGTAGCGCGGTTCAAGGTGTGGCAGGTTTGAAAAGAATAAAATCGCTTACCGGTGCGATGGAGAGAGGTCAGCATCGAGGCAGCGATGATTTAAGAATTTTCTGGGCCGTGAAATCAGCGTGTTCATTTATCGGCGAGCGTGTTCGTGCGAGCGAATGTTTTTTTTTTTCCGCCGCACCGAGAAATTACTCGCCATAGGGATGGCGTGAAACGTCTCGAGATGTTAATTCACATTTATCGAAAGGATCGATTAATTTTTTTTTTTTACAAACACAGCGGTCGCGCGCGGAATCGGATGGATAAGTGAATCGAGCGAGGCTAGGTTCGCGCACACATATCAACGCGGAAACGCGAGGACGCCGAAAGAAGGTAAACAAAAGAACAGCAGTGACAGTTCGTTCTCGTCCGTGAATGAGTAGAATCGTATCGTTTCATCCGTTCCATCTTTCTCCTATTTTTTTCTCCCCTATTCCTCTTAACGCGCGCACACACATACACTCTCTCTCTCTCTCTCTCTCTCTCGAGACCATCATCGAATATCATTCCCCGTCGAATCGTTCGAGATTTCGGGACACTTACGGGCAACGTTCCATGGCAGATCGCAACGTTGATCGGCGAGCCTCACCACTTCACATTTTACGATATTTTCACGTCCCGATCGAGCATTTCACCTGTTATATACGTTGGAACGGTGTCGGCCGCGTTTATCATCCGATCGTCGTTTCCACGATCTCGTGTTTTCGCGATAATTACATCGCATGCTTTCGCCTTCGTATTCTTAACGCCGGGCCGAACGATAAATCCGCGTTAAATCTCAATGATTACTGGATACGTACACCGGTTATGAACCTGTCAAGAATTCGTTGTCGTGTTGACGTTTGCGATCGGAGATTAAGACACGTTTATTACGCGTTGTTCACACGGGTGAATTTTCATTCAACGCACGTTTCACATCTTCTAAATATTTACATTAAACACTTTATTACGAGATTGTTACGAGAGAATTTTTCAATTCTCCCTCGTCGACGGCAGATAAATAACGAAACGTGAATTCTGGTAGAATCGCTTACGGAATCGATAAATAAAGACTCGTGGAAGGATTTTTCGTCGAGTATCTTTTTCGATGGAACGAGGGTGTATGTGAATGATCGAGGTTAATTTTAGGTGGTGCTAAAAACCGGAAACGCATCCTCGAACGATCAAGATTTATCACACGGTTGCAGCTGCGATCCATTCGTTCGCGTTTTAAAATTAATATACAATCGTTCGATACGCGTTTTTTCGAAAAATTCTTCTCAATCAGCCGAAAAGAGAATCAAGAGGAAAGAAACTTTTAAACGTTCGCGGCTGTTGTCGAGAAATCTTCGATGCGATATGTCATTAAGTAATAAGGAGAAGGTTGAATCATAGGAGCGATATGCAAATGTAATCCTTATTAACCAACCTTGCCGTACTGCGAGACGTTCAACGTTATTACATCACACCGTGATCGAAGCTGTAAACGTAATCGTCCGGAGCGCTGTGGACAACAAATTCGGGCGATGCAAAATTACCAGAAAATTTCCACAACTACTGCGATAAGAAACGAAACGATCGATCGATCAACCGACGCGTATAACGCAAACCAACGCGTTCGATCGCCCCTCTATTTTCGGCTCAGAGATGTCGATTTGGACGGATGAAGCGCATCCGCGGCACGAAAACCGACACGATGCGTAATCGAATCGCGGGAATCGTGGCTACTTCCACTCGTGTCTGGCTGTCTGTTATTATTTTTAGCGCGTGACCACGAGAGTCGCGGGAAGGAAAGCGAGCGAATGGAAATCGGCGCGATAGCGTGCGTTAACTCATCTCGCGGGCTTGGCTCGCGTTTCTGTCGCCACGATCCAGCTACCGCACCCACAACACCGCTCATCCATCTGGTATGCCCGCGAAATCACCCATCGCGCTCCATTTTACGCAACCGTTTTGCCTTCACTCGCGATCTAGAAAATGCACGAGGTAGATGGTGCGCGCAGGATCATCGAGAGAGATGGTCGTAAGACGCGGGAAGAAGGTGAACGTGATCTGGAAAAGCGTCTAGCGTGACACACGCGGAAACTCCTTCTTGAATATATATATATATATAGATATGAAATTGCTATATATATAGATATGAAAATGATCGAAGACGATTTTATCCCCGATGGGTTAACGTTGGAAGCGATGGAAAAGAGACTTGGTTAGGATTTTCCAATTGTGTCACAGTGAAGTTGCGTTTTCTTCGGTAACGATAGGTGGTTTTATTGGAAGATATCGATCTCGTAAATTAGTTTTATCGATTTCTTTTATCTATATCCGCGTAGCGAAGGTTACGCAGCCTTTGAAACGTATAAACGATATACAACGAATATTCGATTAGAGTTTCTTTTTTTTCCCTTCTCTCTCTCTTCTAATAATTCTAGAATTTTACGTTATGTTATTATTGCGTTGCGGTGTTATAACATTTATATAGAAAATGTGTTTAAATAACATGTGCCGCGATATCGTGTTATAACGATATCTTTGACATTCCTAAAGGTACGATAATACTCTGTTGTTACGTAGAATAATATATTAATCAACAAAGCACAGCTGGTCGGCACGAATTTCTTAGAAAGGTACAAAACTTAGAAAGACATTTGAAACGTTTGAACGAGTTGTCAGTTTCGTTTCGAACGCGACACTGTACCATTCTATGACGTGGGTATTATTTATATATTCTATTTTCTCCTAATAAAATTATCTTTACTTTTGTTTTTCCACTCGAACAAGTGTATTTACTTTTAACGATGCAAACGTTAAGTGAAATGTATTCTGTATCATTACGTGTAATAACGATTTTATTTTTTATAAAAAAAGATATTCGTATCTATCTATGATTACACTTGATTGATAAAATATCGTGTAACAATAATCCGTTTCGTCGTTTACGACTAAAAGATGCGACTATATATGAAAATATTTTATTATCGAAAAATTATTTTTAAGAAAAAATTTGCAATACGTTATTTAGATTTGTTGTTAACGTTATTTAACACCGTCGGAATATCTCCCATAATTTGTTTGTAAACTGTAGGAAATGTATCGTAAAGTCTATATCGCAAGATATGAGAATTAACATTTGGTAAAATCTTATATAACGTTTCAGAGTTTGGTTCAACTCGAAAATTTGTTCGTGCGATGATTTTTTTCTTTTTTTTTTCTGAAAAAGTTATTAAAACACTCGCGATTTTTCAAGCTGTCTAAACTGATAGATCCTTATTTTGAAAAAATAAGTCCTTTTCGAAAAAGAAACGGATCGAGAGAGAAGATCTTGTTAACATTGATCACACGTTCGCTTCCGGGCAGTAACGTTTCTTTCCAGCAGAAATTACATTATGTATCTACGTCACTGAGGGGCTTCCACGAACTAAAATTAGCAAACTCCAAGTTGAAGAAGAATATTACAATGTTATCCTGAAGCATTGTTGCGGGAACGATATCTGCATCGTTTAGAGATACATGACTAATAATTCGAATCAAAAAGTTAGGATTAACCAGAGTTATTATTAGAATTATGTAAATGCTTCAATTCGTTTCAGAAATATTTCTATTCTTCATCATTATTTAACATATTTATCATCAGTTCGTGCATATTATTTATTTTACATATTGCAACAGTAATTATTTCATTTAGGATATCGATAAACCTTTCTCCTAGATAGACGAATACCAATTACTTTGATCTAGTGTTTTTTTTTATGGATTATTTTTAAAGTAAAGAAGTATTTTTATGTCAATCATCAAGTTACATCTTAAATTTTTCAATGTTTAGTTATTTCGATTATTATTCAAATAAATCATTTTCTTTTTTAACTTTCCAACAATATCGAACGAATGTTATTAATAGTAAAAAATTATATTATCATTATAATTTTATAATGCTTTTATAAAATACTAAATTTGATAATAAAGATATCGAGGCAAAGTGGCCTCTATTTTAAGAGTCTCGTGGATAAAAAGTTTTACTAGGATGACGAAGTTCGCCTACGCGAATTGTAGCGTCATGAATGCTACGTCATCACCAGTATCACGATTTCCTCGAATAAATCGGTTACGTTCCTGCCCTTAACCATGTACCGTTATTTGGTGGAAGCATGCAAAGTTAGTCATATAAACATAAAATTTCCAGTTCCACAGGAAACCGTGACTGGATATTATCTCGATGATTCAATTCTCGAAGAGGTGAAATTTTATATAATAAACAACAATGTTTGATTTATACAATGTAACTTTTCACTCACCTTGTTCTTAAATAATCGCTCGCCAACACCTCCCTTTCGATTCTGTAACAAAAATGGAATTATTTGTCGTTAAAGTTTTTTCGTATATAAATATTCTAAACATTATGAGACATTCCTAAATTTCGTGTAATAATTTTAATCCATTAGACATCTTTTCTCGTCCCGGAATATCCTTATCTTTCGATTTCTTTTACTACAGATTTATTATTGGAGAAAAAGAATAGTCGTTCTTCGACATTCGTACGTAATTTCGATTCGTTAGTCGTTTAAAATTCTATCAATACTTGTGAAAAATATAAGGGAAAAGAAAATTTCGTTTCGTCACGTCTCGTCACTGACCAATGGTCAAAAAAATGGCTAATGGGCCAGAGGGAGCGTGAAAACGTTCGGGACGATCGAAAAAAAAAAAAGAAAAAAGAAGAAGAAAAAGGTTGGGAAACACTGGTGTAAAAGAAATACCGTGAAATCGAGGGGCCGAGGTGCGAGATAAGATTATAAAAGATTCCCAGTGTAGACAAGACGGCACCTGTTGCGCTCGTTTCCTCGTAATCACCCTGTATTTCAGTAGAGTGTAGGCAAGCTTTTGCGCTCCGGCTGGGACAGCCGTGCGAATGGCATTCGTAAATCATGTATCGTTTGCGATTTCCTGACACCGCATACCGAGAAAACCCGTCCTTCTCGGAGCTTTCGTTTCAATATTCCTATCTATCTCGTACAAACTATTTCTTTTCGTCGTAACGATGTTTTAATTAAAAAAAGAGAAAGAGTATAAGACTTCAATTTATTACATCTATCAGAAGATTATCACGTACGAACGAATATAACATAAGATAACGTTAAATCCTGCTCTTTTATCTTTATTGATAAAAGAGCGAGCGCAAAAAAAAAAAAAGAAAAGAAAAAGAAAAAGAAACACGATGATAAAAATACACATGGATCGATCCGATGGGAAGAGATCACGTGCAACGCAAGCTCTCGATGAACGGTCTCACGATGGCGCGTGGTTCGAGAGTGCACACAAGCCGGCTTAACACTTGTCGGAGCTTGTCTGTATGCGCGGATCATTTCCTCCGGGTGATTCATCGCGTACGCTGGCTTCGCCCTTCAGGGTCGTAATGGCGGATCTTCACTCGAGGTCGAAAGATCGCACGATATCGCGTTACCCTCTCACAGGGTGCACCTGTGCGCCTGAACCGACCACGGTGGCATCGTGCCACACATCTCCTCGTCGAGATCACCCCACCATCCTCCTCTCTTTTTCCTTCTCCTCCTCTCTCTCTCTCGTCTACCTCCTCCTCCATCCGTTCGGCCAGCCGTTTCTGCAGCCGATAAGATTGCCAACAAGCCCTACGCGATTGCGCTACCGTCAACAACACGTGCCCGGCCATCGTGCGTTTCATTCATGACCGCGCTCATTCACCGCAGTTGTATCGATTCAATCGGTGATATAACGTAACGGCCGGCCTGCCCGCCCGCCAGCAAATCCATCCTTTCCAGTCGATTTTGAAAACTCGCGTAGAAATTCCACTATTATCCACTGTCTCCTAGCTTATTCCAAACGTCCACGATTCGTTTGGAATGTTACGAAATGTAACGTTAATACGAATGAATATATAGTGGTTGGAGAGTGTTGAGAGAGAGACGAATGATATTGATTTTTTGAATTGTGTTTTTGCGTAGATAATTCTTTTTCCCCCGCGATTTGTAACATAAATAAATCGAGCGGATCGATAGTTAGAATCGAAATCGTTGTTTATCGTTGGCCAGAGATGCGTCGAAACGTAAGGAGAAACCAATTTTAAACAACGATACATAGAAGATATCGGTTATAACGCTACACTCCCTCCAATGAATATCGCCTTACGACCATCTGTTCGCCGCTCTTCGCGATAACTTTGCGATAATAAAGTTCGTACGCGACTGCGTGCCATTGATCACATCGTCGGTCGCACGTTTGTTCATTCATAAATTGTTCTGCACAGTTGTACACCGAGCTGTATACAGAGGAAAGAAGCATTGTTCGATCAGTCGCGAATTAATTCGTTTTAACGCGAAAATTCGAAGAAGATGGCGGTCGAAGTTGGCGGAACGGTGACTCGAGAGGGGCTTCAGAGGTATTTCATTGAGAGGCGAGGAGTAAAAATTTTTTTGGAGTTGGCGAACGAGATGGCCACGTAACGTAAAAACGGGTCCGTATACACGGTACTAGCGTTGAATCATCGCGGATCGATTCCTGGAATGTTCCATTCATCTCGGAGCAATGTCTCGGACGCGGAAACCGAAGGTCTTGCGGAATCGTCGAATCTACTCGCGGAAGAAACGCTTTTCTGGCCTCGTTCTCATCGAGAGTAGGTTGGATTCCACAGACGGTTGCGGTTTCGAGGTCGAGGTATCTTTCTCAATAAGAAGAGCCTGTTGATTTTTAGAGATAATCTGGTCTAAGACGGAAATCGAGGGACGAGAAAATGTGAAAATTCGCAAATGTAGTTTAAATAATAATTTCGATATCGAGGCTGATTTTAAAATCTTCTTTTTTCCTCAGTATCGAGTGATTTTTCTTCTTCTTTTCTTTACTTTTCTTTATTCTTTTCATTTGCATCGACAAATAATCGTGAAGTAACTTAATTTCATTTAAAATATTATCTTCCTTACTGTTTGCCATAGATTATTTTTAATAATCATCCGTAAACATAATTATACGTAAGCTTACATCAGCTTCTTTAAATGCTAATTTTCACACTTGCAGTAGTTTTTTACGATATTTTTAAATTTCAGAAAAAGAAAAAAAATTTAGGGGATACCCCGACGATTCACGATGACAAATATTAAAATCGTCTAACATTTATTTTAACTATTTTACTTCTTAACATTCGATACACGCAGAGACATTCGCAGACACAGGAAATTTCTCTCTCGAGATGGTTTTTATATATACATCAATTCAGCATATTTTTCGTGGGAGTTTCGAATATCGAAAGGAAAGGCATTTTGTATATATTTTGCAATTTATATACAATATCCTGTTGCCGCTCTGAATCATTGCGAGTGAATTTCGCGATCGTCCGGAATGCCCACGTGTTGTGGACCTCGATACGTGTTTAGTCATGATCGCCTCTCGTTTTGGACTATTGCGCAAGATCAGGTCCCGTTACGAATATTCCCTGCCTTGGGCAATATTTGTTCCGGTGTGACCGTTTCACGCCAATTTCTCTTGTGCAACGAGACACGTTGCTTTGATTTGAACCAACACGAGTCTATAGATAGAGACGAATCAATGCGTCATTTTTCGACACATTGGAGAGGACATTTTTTCGAACCTCGACTTGAAACTTGATCGAAAGAAAGGAACAAGAGGAACAAGGATGTGCATTTACAATCTTCTTGTAAAAAAAGAATTCATTTTGAAATCTAGATCATTTGCTCGATCACGTGATCGACGAATGGAACAACGGTGCTCCCCGTTTCGAGTCGGTTGGTATTCGCTTTCGAAGGATCTCACCTTCGATCGAGGCTGGATCTCATCGTTGCGAAGCGTTACAACACGCTTCGATACAAACTTGCAATAATTTCTGGGTGAACAGTCATTCGGTCGAAGGTAAAATGAAGAGAGAGAAAAAAAAAAGAAAAAATACAAGGATTTTTCCCGTTTGCCGTTGTCTACGACGCAAGAATATTTAACGACACTAGCCGCGATATTTCCCCGCTCGAAAATGTATTTACCTCGGGAATGACGCGCGCGATTGTGGCCGATTCTCGCATTCGACGACGACGACGACGACGACGACGACGACGACGACGACGACGACGACGACGACGACGACGACAACGACGACGACGACGACGACGACGACGACTACGACGACGACGACGACGACGACGACGACTACGACGACGACGACGACGACGAGGACGACAACAACGACGACGACGTGTCAACGAGAATTATCGCCGTTCTAACATCCTGGCTCTCGTACCGGACCATTTCGGACCGGTCAGTGACGCGTGACGATCCCTCACTTCAATATTACTGGTTCGCGTGGCGAATTAGCATACCCGTATCATTTTTTCGTCCGACCATAAACTTCGCGAACGTGAGCTCGGTCATGTTATGCCCGAGAACAGAGATGCTTGCAATATGTAAATGTATCTCTCTCTCTCCATCCCCCGTGTCGAGAAACGAGCTGCGCGTTCTTCGAAATTAGTTTTTTCATCGCGAAAAAAGGAACCGAAAACGCGATGTTAAAAGGATCGCCTAATGCTCTTAAACGCCTATCTTTTTTTTCCTTTTTTTTTTTTTTTTTGGTTCTCACGTTTGGATTCAGTCGCATGGAAGAAGAAGAAGATTATCGAAGAAGAAGAAAAAGAAGAAAAAGGAAGGAGGAGAAGGAGAAGATAACAAAATGAACGTTTGTAGTTTTATTATGCGGTGTTATGCATTGCATTAACGGGAGGGAATTTTAATCTGTTTTTAAAATCTTGAATATCGTATTTTCCACGTTGATACGCATTAGAAAATACGTGGTATATACAATTATATAATTTAAAGTAGATAATAGGTGTGTTTGACGGCGTGCGATTAAAACGAGTGCGAAAACATTATATACAATATCGTGGGTCGAATTCCCGCGAATAATAGCTTCACGGTCCGAAGAAGACCATAGGTAAACCCCAACGCGATTGCTGAATCATGATGCGACTTACCGGGAATCTAGACAGTTTCTCGGTAACCAGATCATCTTCCTTTTAAACTGTACCGTATGTGATCGTCCATGATTGAATGAAGCGATTACGTTCTATAAACGATATTACGTTATGCGAAACAGTTAAAATTCTTTCCGTTGGATAAAACCGTTTCCATTATTTTTTATAATATTAATGTTTTCGTTTAAAGTAATTAAAATTGTTTCAATATAATAATAATATTGATAATAATCAAATAATTACAAGTCGCATATAATATATTTAAAATATTTTTGATCGAAATTTTAGATTACGCTTGATTCCACTCTTGTTAGGGGAACAAGAGTTATATACGACCGATC